TGTGATTTTACAGACGTACAAGGAATTAAGCGCCCTTCTACGTACTGCTTGTTTCTTCGTCCTCTGGAGTGGTGGAGAAGGTGACGATGCTGAGACGTCTCGCTTCTTCGAGAGTCATTCGTCTTCCATGGAGATCTCCCGTCTTTTCTTCCAAATGGCGCTTTCCGATGGTACTATCATCATAGTAGCACCACAAAATAGCCGGGTGGATGGCACGAAAGAGAGTTTCTTCCAAGCGCCGAACCAACATGCTCTCTTGGACATCCTTGATGGTGATGATTTCTGTGCTTTCAATGGCGTAAAAATATTGGATGACGGTGTTTTCCATGGGAACACTCAGATCGTAATTGTAGGTTGCCGAACAAACTGCCTCCTTTCTATCCAAGATCGCAACTCGCGGTCCTGGGACCAACATTTCGCCATCTAAAGATCGATGGCCTTGCTGGTCCATTATGTTGTTTCGAAGAAATGAACTGCTGGTAGGACCTACTACGTTGGTAGTAGCTCGGCATACTGCCACCACCAACGAGAAGAGCGACAGCGATAGTTTCCAAGCTGAGACCATCTTTTTAGGTATTGATTTGTATCCACCCCTCGACCGAAATGAGACCAGTATCGATAACTCTCCTGATGGAAGCTCTAGCTGCAACCTTGCTGTACTAAAACAAGGCTAAGCTTAAGGTTGTTGGAAGCTGGTTATCAGCTGACGAGAACACTGTCAATGGAGGGAAATACTGTTACTACCACACTAACTGTAAAAAACAATACCGCAGAGCCAATCTTGGCAGAACAGCAGGATTGTTCTGTCAACGGTGGTGGTGTGACGAAATACTGTGTCGTACGGTAATATCGATTAGCCTATGAAAATGTGAGAAGAGGGATGTCGCCATAACGACGCGACCGAAATATTAATATAATGAAGATATTCATTGTCGCTCTCCCATGTATAATTAGAGTTTCAGGTAATGATTGTAAGGAAGCCGTTTGATCAGTTGGTCGAGTGGGTCGATTCATCGGATCTTTCAACCTCACACCACCTCCTCTCATCACACATCATCGTCACCATCATCTTTCCTCTCAAACCGTCGCCACACACTTGAAACTCCAATGATCATCATCATCACCTTCTCGTTTGAAATCTCTTCTCCACTTCCCAGGCAGAGATTCTTACGACAAAGTAATTTGTTTTACCTCCCGAATTCCTAGAAGTTCGACGACGCACTATCATCACAGCTAATCTTCAGCACAATATCAAAAGAAACGGAACAATGTCTAAGGATATCAAGACAGACGAAAAAAAGCAGCATTTCGATGACATCTATGTGAAAGAGAATCCCGTTGCCTACAAGACTGAGATCTTGGACAAATTGGAGTATATCAGCGATAACTTCAACAAAGAGATGTTTGATGCCCATATCTTGCCGTTCGCTCAAAGCAAAAAGGACGGAGTGGTCAACGTGTTGGATTTATGTGCCTGTTTTGGCAATACCACAATGGCGACCGTCCGAGGCATGACATACGATGATATTCGTAACAACTGGAAGGATGAAGCTGAATGCATGACCATCCAGCGGCCACCTCGATTCGATTGTCACGTCACGGCGGTAGATATCTCTGCCCCGGCCATGGCGTACGGTGAAAAGGTGGGTCTTTACGACGAAGGCATCGTTTGTAATTTGAACGAACGAGAATCTGCCGATTTCAGAAAGACGGTAGCTGCCATGAAGGAGGCAGATGTATTGATATGTACTGCGGCTTTAGTGTACTTGGATTTGGATTCCGTAGATGCCTTGGTGGAATCCTTTGCCAGTAACAGCAGCAAGGACGGCTACGTCTTAGTCAACTTTTTGAATCCCTTTGCTTTGGAAAAGGCGGATCAAACCAAGCGTATTCTATTGAAGCATCTCGACTTTTGTGCTAGTCGGGCGACGCGACACCGACGCATGTCGCCTCTGGAACAGCAGAATTACCCTGGAGAAGAATGGTCTCTGTTGGAATTGTGGGTCCTCAAGAGACGTCGTAGTTAAGCAGGAAAGTAATATACAGTTGCCGACCTGTATTGTCGTATTCTTCAGCTACAGTATCAGCGTGCAGTCTTATAGATATCCTGAAACGAAGGCAATCATGTTCATCTCGAAACCACTATATTTTCTGTACCAGCCAACGTTTTGTGTCATTCCCATTGTCCTTCAGTGGCCAACAGCTGCTCACAGTCAATAATTTTGACGGCTACCAGCAGGTAGATTTGGCACGGAAGACCTACAAAAGTTTGATTCAACAATCGAAGCCGCTATGAATGGCAGAAGTTAAGTCATCATTAAAGTATGCCAATGAAAGTATACTATGCAATTGGCATGACTACCGTAGGCGCTGGGGACAACAAAGATCGTGATCAAAAGTCGTCCAGTATTGCACCCTACTACGATAGGCCAGTGAAGTTGCTCACAAGTCAAACTTCAAGGAAGATTGCAGTCTTTGATACATTTTTATTGATCACGAATTCCCCAACAAATAATACTTAACTTTACCGTGTTGGGGTGACCTGCGTCTTGGACAGGTCACTCTGGACCATGGCAAAGAGATGAAAGCGCCAACACCATATTTAAAGGTAATAGTCCAAAGTAGAAAATACCAGATGTCAATACTAATCCTCAAATATGACTGACCTTCGAGCGTGTTGCGATAAAAATACTAGAACACTTTGTCCCATTTACTCAATCATCGTCCAAGTCCGAAGTCAATTCTTCCATGAGAGAAGGATCCAATGCTCCAAAAATAGTGCTTTGGCGTTTCTTTGCCGACGAAGAGAAAGATGGCAGATGGCCAGCGTCGTTGTCGTTGTTGCTGCTGTTAGTTTGGTGGCTACCATTGAGGTCGGATTTCGTTTTGGCTATCGAGTCCAACTCCATAAACGTGGTGGGTGCCGTAACGCCCATATTGTGATTGCGAACAGAGCTGGAACCCTTTTCGAGTCGATTTGCCACTCTCTGTCGCTCTTTTTGTTTCTGAAGACTGCGCACGGCAGCAGACCTCAAATCTCCGACATCTTCCATATTTAAAATTGGCTCGGACGGCAACACGGATGCCGACACTTGTCGGGCTAGGGCCGCGTTGGCATTCTGGGCGATCACGGACGTTGGTTGGGGAATCATTCCTGTCGATGACTGTTTTAGCAATCCTATTCTAGGGGACCTTGAAATCAGTCCTGGTCCCAATGGTGCGAGTCTTCCTGACCCGGTAACGTGCAAAGAATCAGGGACAAGATTTTGATCGGGTACAACAACGGCAGCAGCATCGGCACTGCCCCGTCCTGTGGAGAAAAGATTTTGGCTTGATCGCATTTCAAAAATCGATCGCAATGCGTTTCTAGCCTCCTCCTTGTCGATCAGTTCATAGCCTTCATCCGACTCGGTCAAAAATCTTCCATTCCAAAAGGTGTTGACCGTTTCAATCACTTCATCCAAGACGGCTTCTCTCCCATCCATTGTGGCTTGTTGATACTTTCCCGATCGCATGGCGACTAGAACGTGCAGACGATTATTTCCTGGACTTTGACTGTTGGGATCGAGGGCATTACGAGACGACGTCAATATGACGTCCATTCGGTTGAGGGTTAGAATTAAACCATGCTTGTTGGTGTTGCGACAAGACGACCAGGTCGGCTCTTCCTTGGTTTGTCGTCTATGACAGTCGCCTCCCGCTTCCATGCCCATGCGAAACAATTTCTTTTTGCTATCTACCAACATGCTTTCCGAGGCTGAGCGACGCAACAAGGAGGATCGTCGCCGTCTCTTTTGAGGGTCATCCTTTCGAATGGGCGACAACCCATGGCCATTGTTGTTGGGGGATAGTCCGTGTTGTGGTGGAATTTTGAACAGTGAAGATGCGGCAGAAGAGTTATTGGAGAATTGCTGTTGTTGTTGTTGCTGCTCCTGCTGCAAGAGATTTTGCTTTGGAGAATAACTGGACTGTGGTTGCAGCAACAGCTGCTGATGCTGCTGTTGTGATAGATGCTGTTGTAAAATGGCATGGAGAAAGGCCCGCACTTGATCGGGTGATAGAGACTGCCAAACTGGAGCTGTCGTGTTACTTTTCGAATTCCACAAGAACCGTCCTGGAAGACTGGTTATCTTGTCCACAATAGAGTCTAGTTCGGAAGTATCGTTTCGTTGTCGGGCCTCTTGATAGGCCTGCTGATGGAGGTTTAAAAAGACTTCGAGTCGTTTGTTGCCGACATGGCCTTCATACGGTTCTAGTTGGTACTGACCGTATTGACCATTGACGGGAGGCTCCAACAAGACATCGTAATTTTCGATCGAAATTATCGTCGAGCCGTTCATTATATGAGTGCTGTGCTTGGTGAGAATACTCACTACTACTAGAAATGTTTCAGGAGTAAACGGTGCAGTAGGAAAATGGTATGTCCCCTTCAATAGATGATAATAGTAATTATTGTCCACCACTGGCAATAGTTTTGTTTCAAATCACAAACGGAAATAATTCGTAGTAATAAATTGAAGTACTCCGTAGTAGACTACCGGTAGTAGTACAACGATTGAAGTTTTGGATGTTTTGAGTGTGTGGAAAAGAAGCAACAAAAGTTGTTGCGAGTAACCAGTAAAAAGAACTACGGTATTGATTGACGAGTACCGGTAGGGTGATTGTATCATACGGTGCAGGACCGGACTTTAGTACTGATAGTACGACAAGTACACGTGGTACTCCACCATAGAATGGACGATGTCGAAAAGCTGACGGTGAACATCACAGTCAGCGCACAAACTGTCGCATAGTTACTTTAGTTGTGCTGACTGTGATTATTGCCTAACTAAATAAAATAAAATAATAATACCGGTAATGTTGTACTACCTTGAAAAAGTGTAAAAGGGGTGCAAACGCCGGCGAGAGAAGAGAACCATCCAGAACCCAGAACCAAAGGACATTTGGTATAATTCAATTTATAATGCAAAGTTGCAACGCGGTTTGGCAGGAACACGTCTGGCCGCGTGGCTCAATGGTAGAGCATCTGTCTTCGGAACAGAAGGTTGAGGGTTCGAGCCCCTCCGTGGTCAAAGATGGCAAAAATTTTTTTTTTTGCCCAAATGCCGGATCCGTATCTCAGAGGCAGCACCTTTTTCGTTTTTACATTTTTCTGTTATTATATTAGTATTATACAAGAAGTACGAAGTACCATATGCATCCTTTTTAGGTGCTGCTACAGTGTGCTAGCTAGCTCGCTAGCTAGCTAGGAAGTAATCGTTGGTCTCTTTTTTTGAACATGATTCATCCTCGCTTCCCAAATGTGCGTAGCACAGTCACAGAGATTTTTTTCGTTTATTTTCCCTCTGGACTTCCAGGCTGATTAGGTTACTCAATTACCCTGGGATCCGCTTCGAGAGACCTAGCCCCCAAACAGGGTCTCAACAGATCCCCACTAGGCACTCGTCCCTAAATAATAATGATGCTAGCTTGACTACACAACAAATGTTGTAATGAAAGGTTCCTCCAAAACACAGACACCACGGAAAGACAAGAGGAGCTCTGACAAGCACACGTGCGTATTCCAGATCTCAAAAAGTCTCACCATCTGAGTGAGCTCTCACCATAACATACCATGACCTGGTGCGTGTCTTGACGAGTCTGTAATCTCCTTTCTTACCCTGTGAATGACACATAGACGGTGGTTTGCCTGTGAGGTTTGTCATTTAGATACTCAGTATGGCTGTTTGATCCACAGCTGCAATCATGACATAGGAATGATTTCTTTATCAAGGAAAGAATCCTCCAATAGCGGGGATGGTACCAATGCTGCTGCAATTTAAGTGGGAGCAAAACAAGAATCGACTACTGTAGTATCCGTGCCACGCAAAATGAAGAGCAGAGGGGAAGCAAAAAACGAAGACGAGGATAGAAGAAGAAACTTTCCGAAAATCGTTTTTCTTCCCTCTTCATTGGAGCATTACCATAAAACGACAATGCCGAGAACCGTTCATCGTAAGACAATAGAAAAGTAGAGGCAACGGGCAATATGCACCACCCTCGTCATTGGTGGCAAAACCTTTGTCTACTGGGCCTTCTACGTACTTCTAATGCCGGTAAGAAGAGAAAGGATCAACTACGGTAGTGTTGATTATCAAATTTCTTCCATCTGCATCAAAGTTCTTCCTTCCCAGAACGAACGAGAAATGGCCAACGAAGAAGTAGTTCACAGTCATTAGCAGAAGGAGAAGAATACGAAAATAGAGCGATCTTACAAAGCCTAGAGGTTCTAGTCAATCTCCGAATGAAAAATGCGGTGAAGAGTAGTTCTTCGTCCGATCGGGGCGGCCCTCCCGATCGACTTGCTCCCTGCATCTCCGTCCAAGATAATATGATCACAACCGCACCCAAAATGCATACTTACCCGGAAGATGAATGATAACGATTCGATTAAAGTGATGGACAGTGTAGAAGACGGTGACGACCTTGAGGAGAATCCGGGAACTCGTCCGCTTCCAAGCAGATCGATCGAATCGATCTCCGTCGGATCATGACCAAACGATCGTCGACGATATTGTTCCACAAGTGAAAATCGACTTGGCCAGCAAGATGACTACCTAGTCCAACGCCAGTGGCGGGAAAAAAAACAAGCCCACGATCGAAAAATGGACGCCAACGGCAACAACAACAAAAGCAGCACGATCCCATGGAGTAGTATTTGTAGAAGTAACCTTATAGTAATGTCAGTGCCACAGGGCTCCTTGCGGCTACGTTCGGGCTCTCCTAGCGGATCCCAGTATTGAGCAACTTCATGAGCCCCGGAGGCCGGGTATTAAAAAAGAGCACCAGCAACAACGAGTTGGATTCATGTCGCATTGTGGGTCGTGCTGTAGAGTCTCCGAATGGCAAAATCGACGAAGAACAGTTCTTCTGCGGATCAGTGCAGTCCTCCCGATCGACTTGCTCCCTTCGTTTCCGTTCAAGGGGACGTTATCACTATCACATCCAGCAAGCAAGTTTGCAAAGACAACGACGACGACGACGAAGAACAAGAACAAGAAGAAGAAGAATACGAATATTATGACGATTCGATGGATTGATATGGTGGACAATCGAAGACGATGATCAGATGACCGGGACAGGTACCATAAATCCAGGAGTTTAACGGCCGCAACCAATAGATCGGTCAAAGTGGGTCTCTATCAGAGCAAGACCTAGCGATCAGCATTGGTTCAACGGGGTGGTGATCGCCTCGGTATAAAGGAGGTTTCATGGATCCAAATGATCCAGGTCAGCCCCCGAGACCACCGATGCTCTCTTGTACAATGCATTGGGCACGACAATAGCAAACGTTCCGGTAGCACAACGATTGCGTCATAAGGACGTCTATTGCTCACTGACGGAAACTCCAAGACAACTTGGACAAGATGAAGAAACCCCGCTGACATGATTCCTACATCACCAGTCCTGCTTGCAGCAGGACTTTCCAGCATCCGGCCAAAGTTTTGGAAGAAGACAAATTGAAATTGTTTTTTCGCTCTTCTCCCGTCCGCCGCTCTAGAAACTTCAGGAGCTTTACGATTCATTGAGAAAAGACGTCCTTCGAAAATATGGGAAGCCAACGTAGCCAATACTGGGAATAGAACAACGGGATGCAACAAGAAGCCACCAGATCCGAAGACAGCTACAACGATCAAAGACTGGCAGAGCTTTTGAGGAGCCACGCCCCCCAAAATAGACAACTCATCACAAGCAAGACCTTTTGGATCAAAAACAACCAAGACGTTTCGGTACATCCCGCCAACGTGGCTCCTTCCACTCATCCAAGTCTCTCATTTCCTTTGGGAAAATTGGTTTTCGAAGATCTCTGTTTGTTAGGACTTTTCGCGAAAAAGCTTCAAAATGCGATGGCGTTGGGATCAATGTCTCAACAATATCCAGCCAGCCCGATACCCACATTTTTGATTGAAAAATTTGCATGATATACTCTTTTTGTCCTGGTAGTGCATTTTCATTTTCTTGACTTGATTTCTTCCTGTCCTTGGCCCAATTTTGACTCTGCTACCTTTTTTTAAGTGTATGGTAAATTTTTGGAAGCCCCTCGCTTCAATTTTGGGGAAACCTCTTGGAAAACTGAGAGGTGAACTCTTAATTCTAATTTCTACGAAGAACTACAGCGATAAGATGAATGTAGGCTGGCGCAAACAAGAATGCAGGTTTATCCTCATTGGTTGTGCTGTGCTCGTATCATAGGCATCGATTAGTAGTCTAGCTAGCCATGCCCTATTTTTATTCACTTCACATTCATATATTGATGGGGAAGGGTGGAACCAGGTTGTTGTTACTGCAGCTAACATGTGCAAATGAGGAGACCAAGGCAGAGTTCAAGTGTTATGTTATGAAAGCAAATTGTTGCTTTCCCAATGGCTGATGATCAGCTTGTGTTTACTATCTCTGTAAATTATATGATACGTAGTACAATGTACACTATTCTTGATTGCACTCGTAGTACGCAGTACGTCAGAGTACGGTACCTATAAATAGAAGTCGTCTCACTTCTCTACGACAGTATGATATGTATCAGGCTTCAATCTGGAAGTATAATATCGCATACTACTGGAGTACTATGATACGTATAATTACGGTTTATTCGACCGAGTCAATCTGCACGACAATGCACGAATGAAGAGTGACTGTGAAGATGTTCAATGTTGTTGTGAAGAAGATGTGAAGTTGATCAGCAAGCAAGTACACTACTCGTACCTACTTCTCTCGTACCCCAAGACGGGAAGATAATAAGAACTGTAACCTCGTCTATGATCTCCTCTATTGTTATTTTACCCCCTTCTTCATCTGCCACTGTGACCAGCAAGTGTTCGTTCATTCTGCCAGTGTCCATCCATTCTACAGAACAGAACCCATAATAGCAATAACAACAACACGACGACGACGACGACAACAACAACAACAACAACAACTCTGAAGCGATTCATTTTCCAAAAGCGTCGACACGACTTGTAGCTTGTTTTTCATACTTCACATCGTAGTATTTCATATCCATTGTTCCTTGTTAATCGTTGGATTCATTGGTATTGTATCCATTCAACGTTTTGGCTTTCTGATGAACTATGCCACCCGAAAACCACCATCATCAGAACAGTTCCAATGCGGCAACAACATTGACAAACCATCCAACAGACTCGGGGTCGACATCAACCACAATGAATGCATCTGAATCAAATAGTAGTAGAACTGTCGATGTTCACACTGCTGCATCAACAACATCAGATCCATCAAAACAATCATCTCGATCGATACAGATACCATCAAATGAATCAAACGATGCACAAATGAATAACAACAACAATATACAATATAGGAATCCTGCTGGTAGCTGTAGCAGCAGCAACGACCCTCTGAAAGTCTTGCAAGACTCACTTTCCAACTTGGAGCTTCGCTCATCAGAGAATTGCGTTACCAACAACAACAACAACAACAACAACAACAACAACCGATCGTTAACAGTAAGCAGTTCATCCAGAGATCAAAGCGGTAGCAGCAGCAGCAGTATCAGTACCAGTACCAATATCGGTATCAGTATCACTAGTAGCTGTAAACGACGATCGTCTTCATCCGCTACAAAATCTGGGTCCCTATATCCTACATTGGAAGAGATCACCCGCACCGCCAGTGACTTTGATACCGACCAAGTGGAACAAAGCTGGCAAATGGCATCCAAACAAAGGACCGGTAGTACCAATTACACCACCGCCCACGGTGACTACAACAACAACAACAATCACGATAGAAACGACAGCAACAGAACCATGGCAACTTGTAAACTCCCACCACCTCCGATCCAAGCGGCGGCGACGTCTCCGACCCAGAAATATCCATTGGGTTCGGCGGCATCTTCCTTGCAACGATGTTCAAGCTTGGGCTCAGCAGCGCCTACCAACAACTCTCTTGCCAATTTTTCTGACAGAGAGAATCGCCTCTCCTACCGTGGCTCTGCCATGGGGTTTGCCGCCGCCGCTTTTTCATCTGACATGATGCAAGGCGATTCCTCGTACCAGCCAACACCGCCCTTGGG